ATGGGCATCTGTTCAGCTCACGGCATAACGCATGCACTGCGTCAGTGCATCATGGAGTCCCGCAAAGATTCAGGCTACGATCCCAACGAATGGATTTATATACGTAAGTAAATACTTATTATTATTTTGTAAGTAATTGGGCCAACGATCCTAAGGTAATTGAGAATTTACCTCGCTGAGAATAGCTCAGAGGAGCTAGCCCGTAATTTGTAGGTTTTATGTATAGTCTTACGATCTCACAGAGAGGAGGAGATCACCTGATGGTTGTGAATCGGCGCCGCGCTTATTGACACCCAAAACACCAGAGGTGTTACAAATGCGTTACCGGCCTTTTGTAGATTAGGAATTTGAGGATTGGGGAGATTGGGGAGGGGATGAATTGAGTTTTCGGTAACCTCACTCACACGACAAAACACAACGCAAGCGTAGTTTCAGGTCGTTTTTTGTGAGGTTATTAATAAAGTAATGTTTCTCGTTTGTTTCCAGCGGTGCCGTACGAGACAGAAGTAATATTGAAGGCGTTGGACGTCAAACCTGAAGAATTTCTTCTTAACGCTTAAGTTATTGTTGTTTAAATTTTACGTATTTGCCAAATCTTTCACCAGTGATAGTCGATTGTAACTTGCCATATTATTAAGTTAAGTTTTCTCATTCCTAGTGACTGCGTCTTTGACCGAGTGGTCGCAAGTGCGACAGCCGGGCAAAGGGTACCGGGTTCTATTCCCGGGAAAATTATTACTGAATTCTCAGTAGTAGCACGGAGTCTGGAATTGTGCCCGGTATATGACAATAGGCTCATACATGGGACTCATAACATAAATAGTGAAAAGTGGGTGTTACGCTGTGCAGTGGCATTAAGTGCCGTAATGTACACCTGTACCTACCCCTACGAGGATAAAAGGTGTGATGTTATGTTTATGTGTAAGTTTTCTCATTCTTCAGGATCTGATACTTTATCTTTGTTTTACAAAAATGGTGTTTGGTTATTTTTATTTTATTTCCATTGCTATTGAGTATTAGTTAAACGGTTCTATATTACTGTCTATACTCGGAATTTTAATTCGATTCCAGATTTGACAATTTCAGTGTTGCAACGTTATGACAAGTACTAAATAGTGACGTTGTGAAATTATCCGATATGGGAATGCAATATTTCTGGATCGAAATTTCTCGTTTATAATTTTACTCTCGTAAACTAAGGATATCAGGAAATTAAATATTTCTGACCGATAAATTTAGTTTTGACAATTACTTAACGGTATGAGACTTTTCTTTTATAATTGTGTGTGAAATAACTAAAAAAATGTAATCATGAAGGAACATGACAAATAAAACAGATAGATGTATTATGGTAATAAGTTATTTTATAAATTGTCGCCGTCATCGCTATCGCTATCCTGTCACTTTCTGTAACATTTATTATAAAACACACACACTGATTGTTTATCGATTTTTGTGTTCATCACTACACTATTATATGTGGTATCATTATTTCACAAAATGACAGTAGCTATTGTCAAATCTGGAATCTAATTAAAATTCTGACTATAGCTTCTTAATTATTTTCAAAATTGGATACTTTGTTGTGATGTGACAGAAAGACAAAGGAACCATCATACTTTTACATTTATTAGTAAAGATGTAATGATGGATGTTAAATACTTTATTATTTCTCGTATGTTTGCAAAACTATTGCATTAAAAATAGCAAAAAAAAACTCTATGTATTGCAAGAACTGATAATAGAATAGTAGTTACAACTTGTACGTAATATCTAATTAGTGTCGTTTCTTATCTCTAATGAAATGTGTAGAATATGCTCATTAGCTTACACATTTTAATTGGAAACGACGATTAATGAGCTTCCTAATAACATGAGAAAATTTTAACGATTATCATATGAATCGCTACCTATTTCCATTTAATTATGCCAAAGTTGAAGTAATTCTTAACGCAGTCACTTATTTTTTGACTCAAAACTGGTCATTCGTTTATTTAGATTCAGTCAGGCATTTGTTCTAAATACAAACTCTGTGTCTACAAAAAAGGTTACCAATCCTAACTTTATGTGCAGTTAGATAGATAAATAGGTCCTTAAAGTATTTTCGACTGTATTGGAGAAGGTTTGAGCATCATTTACCTCACTTGCTTAAACCGGGTTGGCGATTTGAAACTTATAACTAGAACTTTTCATAACGATGTTTTCCATCACTGTATGTCAGTGGTGTCTAAAAACTAGAAGATGAACATGAAGATGAAGATGGCATGCAATTTGCAACCCGCCCTTCATGCATGAATTGCGGGAGTCTTAAACTTCCGGGTCACCACGACTCACGACATCGTCAAACCCATTTTTTCTATTTTTTGAGGGGGGAATATCATCCATTGACTTCTCCCGCCTTGGGTTACGCAAGAGGGAGTGTCAGACTCGTACTGACTAAAAACTACCCCGTTCCTACTCATGGTCTACGATTCGACCCCTGCAACCCGTCAGGCATTCCGCGGCGCGCGCGGAACGTGACGTAACGGACACTCCGGGCATCGGGGATCGCGGAACGCACGGTTTTTAGTCAGTAAGAGTCTGACACTCCCTCCCGCCTCACTTGGCGAGAAAAGTCATTCGATGATTTTCCCCCCTTAAAAAAAGGGTTCAAAACTTTACGTATTCATAACCGTTTTACTGATACTTAATATTTTGTTACTGAATATCAATTATCTTAATAAAATAATAATTTACTCTTCAAATTATGAAAATAATGATTTTGTTAATTATAATTAATACTGGATAGTGGTGCTTTTTACATGATTTTTATATTTATTTCTTTTATAGATTTTTTTCGCTAATCTTTTTTCTTTTATAATTATTTTTAAATAATGAAATGTGATTTATAGAATAAACTCATTCCTGTTATGTTTTATTATTGAAATAAAGTTTATTTTTGATATTATTAAATATTGATTCTTGTTTTTATTCACCCTGAAAAGGTGTGTCTAATTATGTTTAAAACAGTGGTTCTCAAAGTTTTCTGGACTACGACCTATCTAAATCAAGTTACCAAACTCAGGGTCCGTGAAATCAGAAATTATTGCATTACGTTGCCTATGTCTTTGCCTCCTTTCCTCGGTACTTCCCATACCACTCGTCGAGTGTGTGGCAAGCGCATTACAAATATTATAAATGGGAAAGTTTGTGAGTTTGTAACTCAATCATGTCAAAACTAATGAAGGGATATCGGGATAAAGTTTGGAAAAGGGTAGATTATGGTCTGGAAAGACGTATAGGCAACTTTTTGTCACACAGGACTGCGGGCGAAGCCACAGAAGCTAGTCTTTCATAGACCATCGGAACCAAGCGAAGGTTTTAATTCGGACGTCTGTTTGAGCTTTACATTCTGAATTCATTTTAAAACAATAAGACGTAGTAGACGTAGTCACACAATCAGTCTCGCCTACACTACAGACATCTGAACAATGGTGTGTAGGGAACAGGATGAATGTTCCCTTCAGAAAATAAAGGATTCTCTGAGAAGGCTAGGTAATGGTTCCTGTTTCTGAAGGACTACCGTCCAACAATTGGTCTGAGGTCATCTCACCGTGGCTGACTGGGGGCGTGAAGTCGCGCGATCCAGGCCGATGCCTATCTCGGCGGTGTCTGGTCGCTGCTTGCGACTGCCGGCGAGGGGTTGGAGTAGTGGCCTATTGCGGGGCCCGATGTGGTGTCAAACTGGTGGGTGGTGCCGCTAGAAGTCAAGCTGTTAGTGGAGCGCGGTCGAGTCCATAGAGAATCCGCCCCTCTACCAACCCGCCTAGAACGGGCGGGCGGGAGAAATCCTACAATTGTTTTATGTTGAAAATTTCCACCCGTTGTAAATCACATGCAAACTCCACTCGTCACGACAATTGTCGTTTTATGTATTAGGGGTTATAGTATAGTTGATTTAGTTGTGCTTACTTAAGATCAGATAAGGGCCCTCAGGGGATGGTTTCCCTTATGCGCCATATACTTTGCAATGTGGGGAGCTTCGGAGCTGTTATGTTTAGAAGACCTGGTGGCCCCTGATAGGCGCTGATGTTTTTTTATGGGATATAAGCCGGTAAACGAGCAGACGGATCACCTGATGGTAAGCAATCGGCGGCCTGGAACACGAGAGGCGTTACAAGTTTGTAATTGGCTTTTTGGGTATTAAGAATTTGAGGATGGTTGGAGATTCAGAGATTAGGGAGATTGGGAAAAGGGGGGGGGGATGGGTGTAATTTGGGATTGGAAAAGTAGATACTTAAGAATTCCACACTCCTTAATCTAGCCTCATTTTGAAGGTTTCGGCGGTGTTGGTTGCGCGACCATGATATCCTAGTAAAGCAATTAATACATAAGTATTCTTCGTAGTCTATACTTATCTGCGGCTACGGGATAATTGCATACCATGATTTTTTCAATGAAATCTGACCTTTACCGATTAGCCATATCTTAGATAGGTAATTATGACAATGTGTATACGGGTGGTATTCAAGGATTAGTTACTTAGGTGCAAAGTGGTGGAAATCTGTTCAGGCTGGCATGAGCCACGTTTTACACGTACGAATATTTATTTAATATATTTTATCATCTATTTTGACTAACTTAACCTACTATTATAGCACGGAGTCTGGAATTGTGCCCGGTATTCGGCAATAGGCTCACCCCCTATTACATGGGACTCATAACATATAGTGAAAAGTGGGTGTTACATTGTACAGTGGCATAATGTGCACTTCTGCCTACCCCTTCGGGGATAAAAGGCGTGTTGTTATGCTATGTTTCTAGAACTATACTATCAATTAAATATCGCTACTCATATAGATCAGGTATCTGCATATTAATTTCGGCATATTTACTTTTCACTTGCATGGCAAACATTGCGAGACAAAATAGAAAAGACGTCGTGAAGTAGGTACCTATAAACACACTTGTGTACTTATATTTTTCCTTGAATTACTGCCAAAAAACAGTCTTTTCGGCGTCTCGCAAATGAAAAGATGTCTCCGAAAATTGAATTCACTGTCAATGGAAAAAAATGTACCGGTGAGTGTTATCAGCCAATTGTTTTTTTTTTTTATTTAATTTATAGTTCGAAATTCTAGATTGTTCTAAATTTCAAATGCGGCGGTTGATTCGTAGTAAAAAATGTATACATTTATTTATTTTATCTGTATAGGTAGGTTTTAATTTTAACAGTTGCAACGTTTAGCGGTTTATTTAAATACGCTGTAGTTTATTTACATTTATTAATAGATTGCGTGTAATTATTTTATTTTATTTTCAACTGTTCGCTTTAAGACTGCCTCATTGGCCGAGTGGTCGCAAGTGCGACTGCCGGGAAAGGGATCTCAGTGTCTTTAGCCAAACGCCAGTTTAGCACTTGTCTACAGAGAAAGTAGAAAACTAAATGTATAGGGATGACACTGATAAGTGTAAAAATTTACGTCAATTCCATATAATTTGGTTTTCTATTATACATGTAGACAAGCGCTAAATGACATTTGGCTACAGCGCAGCAGCAGGTTCGATTAATACTCGACGAACCTCGAACGACGACGAACGATTAACACTCAACCCGACCCCCGGGTCGAGTTGAGTGTTTTAAAAAAAATCTCAGTAGCAGCACAGAGTCTGGAAATGTGCCCGGTATATGGCAATTGGCTCATCTTCTATTACACGTGACTCAACTTAGAAAGTAAAAAGGGGGTGTTACATTGTACAGCGGCATAATGTGCACCTCTTCCATAATTTGTGCATGTTATGTTGTGTAAGTTTTAATGTTAATAGTACGTTTAGCGGTAGGCAGATAGGCTGTAGTTCATTTAGGTACATTCATTAATAGATTGCGTGTTGTTATTGCGTATTGTGATAAGTTACCTACTGTAACTTATTTTTTAACTGTCCACTTTAAAGGATTATTGTCGTATTGGACGTTGACCCAACAGTGGTAATAATTATACATACATGTTATTATGTCATTTGAAAGAGAATGATCTTCTATTTTTGTTGTGTGCCGTGGCGTAATAAATAATTTTTCTTTCTTTGTGTCTTTCTTTATATATTCTTAGTATGACTAGTTTAATCTAACTCGCCGGAAAACGGAGATAAGAGCCTACAAACATGTAAAAAAATTTATGATTACCGAAGCGAACCAAATGATAACGAAGAGTTAAAACTCTTAATACGATAGCAATAGCTAGGAACAAAACTTCATAACAATGAGAGCAAATCCTCTATAACATAGGATAACATTACGCCGCTTAATTCCTGAACTGTCGAGTAGAGATGCATAATTATTGTGTACTGAAAGTTATAACTACTTCCATTAGGTATGGGTCCTGTATAATAGGAATGAGTCTATTACCATAACCAGAACACAGTTACAGACTGGAGTATTTATAACGCATGTCGAAATAGTGAAAAAAAAAATATTTTGCCGCCCCGGCCCTTGAACCACAGATCTCCAGATCTCGGCTCTTACAACCACTATACCAACGAGGAAGTCTGAAGGTTCCTGTTAGCATTTAACCTAAGAATTCTGAATTTTGAACAAGGATGACCCTTGTTTAGTCAAAGTCAAAGCATTTGTTCGACCCCCTATTGACGTTATTTGTACTTTTTGTAATACAGTGGACGAGAATCTCCGGCGAGAGACGACCTTAAATGCATACCTGCGGTATGTTTTGGCACTGCCGGGCACGAAGGCGATGTGCCACGAGGGCGGCTGCGGCTCCTGCATCGTCATGGTGCGCGCCCGGAGGTACCCCAGCGGCATCGTCGAGACCTTCTCTGTTAACTCCGTAAGTTGTGCTTTCCCCATTTGCCATCAACACCTTTTTTATGAGGGGGGAAATCATCCAATGATTTCTCCCAGCCGGGTGAGGCGAGTGGGAGTGTCAGATTCTTACTTACTAAAAACCACCCCGTTCCTGCTTTTGCACTTCGAACCGGAGCATATCGGCATCAGCCCTATTGTGGTGGTCTGATGGCTCTTTGAGGCGCGCGCGGAACGCGGAACACGACGCCTGTCTCTCGCGACGGCTAGGGCGTGAGGAGGTTCATTCTCTCACGCGCTCCACCTCTACCTTAGCTAGCATGACTGCTTCGCAGAAGGACGCGACTGCCATCACCTTTTGTTTATCTTTTGTTATGGCTTACTTAACCACGTGTAGGTACATAGTAGGTACATTCCTCTTTAGAAACCAAGCGGCTTTAACTAGCTAAGCTTACCAACATAAACTTAACGTTTACTCTCTTATTACATGTGACGTAACCTTTCATTCAAGGATTAAAATGAGAAGCTAGGTTCAAAGAACATTTAGGTCGAAATTGCATCAAGCAAAAGTAAATCTTATTCTCTTTCACCCAGTGTTTGGTTCTGGTGTTTTCCTGCAACGGCTGGGAGATCACAACTGTCGAAGGAATTGGCAATGCCTTGAACGGGTACAGTGAGGTCCAGAGGCGGTTGGTGGAGTTCAATGGCACCCAGTGCGGATACTGTACTCCAGGATGGGTGATGCAGATGTCCAGGTACGTGGTGTGAATAAAATGATACACATTTCCGAGGATGACGAGGAAGAACTTCATAGTTATTCTTATTCAATCAATTATTCTAAAGTCATTTCTTTTGTACTGTTTTAGTCTCCTTGACAAAAATCTGACCATGGATGAACTAGAAAAGTCCTTCGGTAGCAATACCTGCAGATGTACCGGGTTCAGACCAATCATGGACACCATGACCTCATTCGGCGTAGACGCTTCTCCAGAACTATGTCAGAAAGTGAGGGACATTGAGGAGGCGAATCCATGCTCTAAAAACCCTAGGATCTGCCAGAGGAAATGTTCAGAGATTAGTGACTGCAGTGACTGGAGCATTGTGACAGAAGAGAAGAACCTGACAAGAGATACCATCTCTTTGAACTTTGGAAAATCGAAGTTCTTTAAAGTGTACCAACAGGATGACATTTTTGATATCCTCAACAAATATGGTGTGGATTCGTATATGCTCGCCGACGGGAATACTGGAAAAGGTTTGTTGTTTTTAATATTATTTAACGTTTTATGGTAGTTTAGAGAATTTCTTTTTTTCTTTTGACCTTTCTTAACTAGCTTTGAAGTCGGAGTCTTAAAATATGAATAATGGAGTATTGTATGCATTTACATGGAGCGACTAATTTGTTCGTATCATTATTTTATCCTTTCTCCATCATTTGGACATTTGAAAACTTTTAGAAAGTGCTACCTAACGGGTTGCCGAGGCTCCGGCTCGAAGTGCAGGAGAAAGAACGGGGTGGTTTTTAGTCAGTAAGAGTCTGACACTCCCTCCCGCCTCGGTGAGGCGGGAGAAGTCATTCGATGATTATCCCCCTTAAAAAAACGGAAGAGGCTTTTTCATGTTTATTTGACTGTTATGTTGTCCACAATAAAGCATATTGCCTTTGTTTATAATGGATGAGTTCATTGCTTGATAGTTAAAATTATTTTTCTAATTTTTATTTGCCCTATTTGTATCTAAAACGACTTTATTACTAAAACTATTTACAGTGCAAGTAGTGGATAGGAATGTAATTTATCGATGCCATTATGTCATTCCAACTTGGATGATACCAAACAAAATTCTATTTGTAAGTAATTTTAAATACAGATCAACGACAATTCATTCAAACACGGGAATTAAAAAACTAATTAAAAATTCTAATATTATTCAGCAATGGGAGATAGTGAGCATCTAGGATATTTTATATATCAAATTGATTAAAATGAATTACATTGTATTCCATAGATAATTATAAAAACAAAAACAAGAGTAATTCATGCATGAGTGCGCGGGTTCATAACCTACCAGCGTGACTGGAGCAATTAGTCCTTTCTAAGCTTATTTAGACACCACTGACGAACGGTGAAGGAAAACATCTTGAAGAGACCTGGGCTTATAATTTGTAATTATTAGTTTGAAATCGCCAACCCGCATTGAGCAAACGAGGCGATTAATGCTCCAACTGTCTCTGTGTGATTATACAAATTCACATACACATTACACCCAGACCCGAAACAGCAATTAGTGGATCACACTAAGTGTTGTTCCGTGCGGGAACCGAACCCGCGACACGCTGCACGGCAGCCGGTTGCCCAGCCACTGCACCAACTGTGCGGTCTTTGGTGCTTTGGTCAGCAGTCGCCTGTACACGCTTATACGCTGTTAATCTGATGTGTGTGTTGAAGACAAAATGATTTCTTTACAGGTATAGTTGAAACGTTTGAGTATCCAAGAATTATAATTGATATTAGCGACGTAGCTTCACTGAAGAAATATGACTACGGTCAAAATCTGGTTCTTGGAGCCAACGTTTCTATTGAAGATTGTATTAAGATATTCAAGGAAGCTTCAAGTAAGAAAAGTGAGTTCGCGTATCTCTCAGAGGTCGTGAAACATCTGGAATTGGTTGCTCATATACCAGTGCGAAAGGTAAGTGGTGATGAGATGGTTCTTCCTTCGGGGATGGTCTATGTGTAGTTGCAATTGTCAAACGTTTTAAGACTTTGACTGCCAATAAAAAACTGTTGAAGGTAAATCCTCCGCTAACGCCGGTCACCGGTGACCCCCATGGCGTTTAACGTGTTAATTTAAATATAAAATGTTTTATAATAATGTTTGTGATACTTGTATAATTAAGTTTTCTTCATTTGTATCGCCTGTTTTGGGCGATGCAATTGAGTGCATTAACCACGATTGCTTAAGATTGTTATTAAGTAATGATTTTAAGTTTCTTGTGATTTTTAAATGTAGCTATTGCTCTAGTAGACCATTGACTTAACGATTTATCTTTCCAGATTGGCTCTATTGCTGGTAACTTGATGTACAGGCGCGCAGTACCGACGTACCAATCTGATCTATTCGTCATCTTCTCTTGCCTCGACGCCAGGATTACTGTTCGTAAGTATTTTAATCTCTTTACAGAAATAAAGATATTGATATTACTGTAGCGATTACGGGCTTCCTTTATATCAGGTGATTTGCCTCCACTTTTGGCAGAATTTATCTTGATTTTTTCACTTTTGGCAGGCGATTTTGAGATCCCCTTTTTACGCAACTTCTTTTAAACGGTTCAACAGAACACGGTTGATCAGAGGCTGTCGCATATAATTATAGTCACTTAGTCTACTCTAACGGCACTTGTGGGAAGGATAAAAGTGTTATTATTGTAAAAGTATTTTACATTTGGTTTTTGTTAATAGGAAACTCTCGCGGTAAAACTAAGACGTTAAATACGATTGAGTTCCTGAAGTTTGACATGGAAGGATGGTTGATGACTACCGTTGCTCTGCCTCCCCTGAGTGAGCGACATATCTATAGAAGTTACAAGGTATATGTAAACATCAGACCAGGTTTAATAAGTTTAAATATAACATCCACTTTTTAGCAGTTATCTTTTGAGTGCCATGTTTTATATGAGCAGAAATTCCGAACTTCTTTTTAAGACCTACACTGACTTTTCAACTTTTTGGTAAATATCAAATCCAGGCAAGCGTGTTTTAGTTAACAATATTTGTCCTTTAAGAATGTTTTTGTTTGCTTCACCGCTAAATCTCTCTTGAATTTTACTTTCTTGTGCTGAGAAGCTTCTTCGATATCCGAAAACATGTATTGTTCTAGATCATGCCAAGAAACCAGAATGCTTTGGCCATCGTCAATGCGGCATATCTCATAGAATTAGGAAGAAAGAACACTGTTGAATCAGCCAGCATAGTATATGGAAATATTGATCCAGATTTTGTTCATGCCATTAATACCGAAGATTACCTGGTTGGTAAGAATATATTTACCAATGAGACTTTACAAGAAGCGATTAATGTGCTCAATTGTGAACTCCTACCAATGGATATTCCTGGAGAACCTTCTCCTGAGTGCAGAAAAAAATTGGCTCTCGGCTTGTTTTATAAGGTAAGAAACCTTTTTCTGAATTTAATGCTTATTGAGTAGTGTTGGTATCGAATATCGATTTGACATGAAACTTTTCGAAAATGAGTAAGTAGGTTATAATCTGCATAAGAGCTTCAATGGAAGTTCATTGTTTCATTATTATTTACCGACTAATAGTTAGTTACCTTTGTTCTTATACCTTCTTTTATTTTTCTATTGCGATGGAAATCTTCATTGACTTTCCGCGTCGTCAGGATGACAGTGAGGCGTGCCGGACTCTCTAAATTACCATTACGAAATCACAAGCACATTATTCTTATATTTACTGTCATACACCTTTTGTTCTCATGTTCATTAGATTGATATCGTTCTTTTATCTCATTCTTTCTTTTCTTCTGCCACAAACATCTTTATGTCCTGCACCCACCTACTATTCTTTGCATCTGATTTTTCTTTATTACAGTTCATCCTAAACATAGCTCCTGCTGGCAGAGCGAACTCAAGATTCTCAACCGGTGGTTCACTCTTTAAAAGAGCAGTGTCCCGAGGCAAAGAGGACTATCAAACCGATAAGTCGTTGTTCCCTTTGAACCAGCCAATAAATAAGTTGGAAGGTTTCATACAAGCCAGTGGGGAAGCTACGTATACCAATGATATACCTCCAATTCCTCGGGAAGTGTTCGGTGCGTTCGTCTTGTCGACGATACACAAAGGAACTGTTGACAACATTGATATTGAAGGCGCCTTGGTGAGTTTGTTTTGTTTTTTTAATTTTGTTAGGGACGGGTGCTCACCAAAGGGATATTTTTGTCCAATCACATCAGCTGTCAATGAACGACAAATGGTGTGACACTAACTAATTCCCTATTTGATAAGAACGAGAGGCGCAACTTGTGTCATTTGGAGAGAAAAAATACGATAGGCCCCATTGTCACAGGCTTTCTTATGTTTACGTAGTATGAGCAAGTTTGTTTTCGGAATGGTTGTTATAAACTTAAGTGTGGAGAGCCATGCTTCGGCACGAATGGGCCGGCTCGACCGGAGTGATACCACGGCCTCACAGAAAACCGACGTAAAACAACGCTTTCGTCGTGTGAGTGAGGTTACCGGAGGCCCAATTACCCTCCCTTCCCCAATCTCTCCAATCCCTGAATCCCCAACTATCCTCAATTGCTATTTACCATCAGGTGATCCGTCTACTCGCTTACCAGCTCATGTTTTATCTCACAGTACTAACATAATATCTGCATTCACACGTTTAGAATTTTGTAGGTTATCTGCCTACTTTATTAATTAGCTCAATAAAACATTACCTATTTCTTTTAAACCATCTCCACATTTATACATATACTAAACAGGACAACTTTACACATTACTGTATCCATTTACATTCAGTAATTAAAAGAAAAACGTATCGTAAAATAATAAAAACATGGAATTCTTCCAATATTTGAAAAAGTTGAGTCAATTGAAATAACTCTAAACGATAAGAACAGTTGTTGTTTATTTTTTTTGTTAAGTAAATTTTGGAACACGAAAGATGTGGCGATATTGTATAATGAATATGCTAATAGTTACATTTATTGTTATAACATGCAACGAGTGGAACACTTGTGATAACTTATTTTAATATTGATTACGCACAATACCTTATTTGTGTAAGAAACATAGTTACCTACTTTTTAATGTAAAAATGTCAAGTCATGGTTCTTAATTCTGTGACATATATATATATATACTAACATCAATAAACCTATTAGGTTATAAGCTATTTTTACCGACTTTGAGAAAAGGAGGAAGTACTATATTCGAATATATGTTTTCTTATGATTACTGATATATGTAGATCAATACTAGAACACTAGTGAAATACATCTGTGCGCAGATGAAAATAAAAATTGTACTTTAGTGCAGTAACTAGGTCACTTTACCGGTTACCACGGCACGTCGGGTTCGATTACCTACTATCCTTAAGAACAGATACATCAAATTGTTGCCCAGAATCTAGATCTGTATGTGTATGTCAACTTGGGATTATAATTCTGGAAAAATGTCTATTGCGTTGTAACATTTTAAAAATCATCACTATTAATTATCTACGAAATGATACTAAACTACACTTTTCTCATTTAGATTTCTTATTTGCCATACAAATGTGGTTCTAAATATAATTTAATTTCGGCAGAAAATGGATGGCGTAGTCGCAATATTCACTCCCAAGGACATTCCTGGTGTCAATTCCTTTACCGTCCCTGGCCTGCCTCTACAAACTGAAGACGAAGAAATTATTGCAGATGAAGTCAAATTCTACGGTCAACCTATAGCTATCCTGGTAGCAGAAACTGAAAAATTAGCGGACACTTTGGCTAAGAAAGTCAAAGTTACTTACAAAAATGTTAGTTCAGCATCACCAGTGCTTACAATAGATGATGCAAAGAAAGATAGCAAGAGATACGTTGGAGGAGGACCGTCTATTGAAAGAGTTTCTAGAGGGAATAAAACTACGAAGATTATAAAGGGTATTTACAATATAGAAGCTCAATACCCTTACTATATAGAACCTATAACATGTGTTGTAGTACCAGTAGATGATAAGCTAGAGGTGTATGATTCGACGCAGTGGATGGATCTGACGCAGAATGCTATTGCACGGTCTTTGGGGATTAAAGAAAGCGAGTAAGTTTTTATTCAACTTTAAGGTTTATGACAATACCTAATCATAATCAAACGTGTTTGCAAGAAATAAATAGGTATAAGATTTCTACTAATTCGGATTTTTTCCAAGATTCAAACTATTTTCTAAGACCTGGCTTTATTGCGTTCTGTACTGGCTTTAGGATTGTATTCAATAGATAATAATTGTTACTTCATTAAAATTCTCATCATCATTTAGGTCAGCACAAATTACATTAATTCTCAGAGCTGTGTATTTGAACTTTGATTTTATTTACAGTATCCTGTTACAAGTTCGTCGAGTGGGTGGTGCTTTTGGAGGCAAAGTGAGTCGTAATACGCAAGCAGCCACAGCATGTGCTCTTGTCGCTAAGAAGTTGGACCGGCCCTGCAGATTCATACTCCCACTGCAAACTAACTTAAGCGCCACTGGAAGGAGATTGCCGTGTCAATGCGATTATGAGGTAAAATAGATTCTGTTCTGTTAAATATCACTTGAGCACCAGAGACAAATTGATGTTAGAATGTAACTTAATATGTAAATTAGACCTGATGAAATTCATCCCCTAAATTTGTTCATACAAAGGTAGTCTCTAAACATTGGAAGTAAGGTGTATAATGTAGTCAGTGGAGAGCGGTCACCGGTGACTGTTTGGGGATGTATAGGAGCCATAATTCAATGAATCTCAACTCTTCAAAGCTCTATATCACCTGGAAAATCTAATATATTGACAATTACACTGAGTTTACAGCACATAAAGATATTTTCTATCACACACGTTTTGTGCAATATACCTAAATGACGTTTTCAATATTTGTTCCCTAACGAATACATAACCCTCAGGTTGGAGTTGACGATGACGGGAAAATCCAGTACCTGAACGCCACCATCATTGAAGACAATGGTTGCTCCAACAATGAAGATATGCTTGAGTATAGTGTGGGTGCTTTCTCTAACTGTTACAACAAAGACACGTGGTCTGTCAAATCTGCGACGGTTACCACTGACACTCCCTCTAACACTTGGGTTCGAGGGCCAGGTAAGTTTTCTAATTAAATTGTTTTTTTATGGCAGTCCTTAAAAATTATACGTTATCATGTCATCATGACTCAAAATTCACGATAGCTTGATAGATTGGTTAGCGATTCTTGAATGAGGTAATTAGCTTGACTTCAAACATTTATGCCCAACGATATTTAAATGTGTAATTGTGTTTAGGCACAGTCGAAGGCATCACATGCATAGAACACATCATGCAGCACATTGCATTCGCAGTAAACAAGGACCCTACTGCTGTTCGCCAAATAAACATGAGATCAGAAGATAATGATCTTCCAGAATTGATCGAATCCTATAAAAGGGAAGTAGACTATGATAGAAGAGTTAAAGCGATTGAACAATTTAATCAAACTAATAGATGGATGAAAAAAGCCATATCCATCAACGTCATGAGCTGGCCAGTGATCTATTATGGAAATTATTCCGCTCTAGTGTCAATATATAGAGGTGACGGTACAGTTACTATTTCCACTGGGGGCGTAGAAATGGGGCAAGGAATAAATACCAAGTGTGCTCAAGTTTGCGCTCACGAACTAGGAGTACCTCTCGAATACGTCAAAATCGTCCCCAATCACTCATTTGTGGCTGCGAACAACGTTTTCTCTGGATCTAGTATCACTACTGAGAGTTGTGCCTATTCTATTATAAGAGCTTGTGAAAAGTTGAAGGCAAATTTGGCTCCGATAAGAGAACGCATGTCAGGAGCCACATGGAAGGAAATTATTCAGAAAGCAGGTGAAGAGCAAGTTGAACTGACCTCCTTGTTCATGATGAGAGACACTGATGAGAACCTGAAACCTTACAGTGCATTCGCTGTAGCTATCATTGAGGTACTGTTGGATGTGACTACTGGGCGATATCAAATTGATCGTGCGGACATTCTGGAAGATGTTGGCATGAGTATAAATCAGAAATTGGATATTGGACAGGTCAGGTTACTATTTATTTCTCCTTTTGCACTCTCATGTAGATGATCTGCTTTTGAAGTTGATGCTCAACACTTACTGAGTACTTTAAGGGTGCGCCCACATCGGGCCAATGCTCCGCGAATGCGCAGCTCTCAAACCCGTGGCAAGCTGCGCGCGTATATTTTTTTTTTTTTTTTTATAAT